ATTTTTTAGTCCTATTCAGATACAAGTTGTAGCAGACGTTCATGAACAACATACACAAGAGCAGTCACAAAAAGACGTTACAATTCGAAAAGTATTAAGTAATGCTGAACGCCAAAAACGATTTCGTGCTAAAAAAGGAGCATTAAGTAATAGATCAACTCAAAGTAACTTTCATGCACCACAAACTAGTGCTGAACGTCAAAGATTATACAAAGCAAATAAGAAATGATGACAAAAAATTACAGAAACTCAAGAAGAAGGGTTTACACAAACCCAAGCAGAGCAATATGTACATCTCGTTAAAGAATGTTAAATGTTGCAAATAAGAAAGATATTTTACATTCAAAAGGAAATTAAATTAAATTTTACCTATTCCTGATCCATTTATAAATTATTAGACAAGAATATTCAATTATTAACAAGAATATTCAAATTATAAAATAAAATTATTATTGACATTACGCATTAAACAAGTTCAATATTTTATGGTTTCTATTAATTTATGAAGTTATCACTTCTGTCGAGCGTCCCGTGACGCACACCATTTTTTTTAACAGACTTGCAGGGATAATCATTGGCGCAAAGTTGAAACAAAGGCCTAACTGCTCTGACGTCACGAGTACGACGAGCCGCCGCACCGCAGAACTAGAGTTGGCCGGCTGTCACTCACTGTCACAGTGAAATGGTCCTCGTGACGTCAGAGCAGTCGAGCCTTGACTTGCGGTGGTGCCGCTTTGGTCCAAACTAAGGCAAGTAACACTGTGAAATTTTCGGCATGTTCAGAACACACTTGACTAGAATGACACTAGAAGTACTAGAGGAATTCAAAAAAATCCTGATTTTTTCCAGCTTTTAAAATGTCGGACTCAAAATGAATTTTTTTCTAACCGCGCTTTCTTTTTAAAAATACGCATCCTCCGAATTAAACTAGGTGGCAATTGGAAATTATTAAAATCGTTTGAAAACACATGAGTTGAAAGATGCAAAAATCTCAGAAAAAATGCCCGTAATCCTGATTTTGGGCAACTAGTAAAAGTCGAATTAAAAATGGATGTTTATTACCAACTGCGCGATTTCCTTCATAATTTCAGCACTTCCAGTACAAAGCATGTACAAATTTGCAATTTTCGTCGTCCCTCGAGAACACTTGGTTCAAAAAATGTGGAAAGTTTCATGAAGTTCTCAGGTGATGCTGATTTTTCCACGTTGGTAAATATCGGTCTCGAAATTGATAGTTATTTCCAACCGCGCTCTCTTTCAAAAATTCGCTCCAGTCATTAGCAAATGCTTGATTCTAAAGATGCTCAAAGTATCAGAAGAAAATCCCGTAATTCTGAGTTTTCCCAGGTTAATAAAAAGTCTCAAAATGGATGCTCTCCTTTGAATATTTGCATTTTCCAAAGCAAATAATGCAGGTAATTGAAACGTTCACTAGTTTGTCGCAAGATCTACTTAATTCGTAAATATTGATTTCAAAATTCCTCTCATATGAGAATTCATATTTTTCAAACTAATGCAACTAGTCAGGTAAAATGCTTGCCATCTTCAGAAAACACTTAAGTCTAAAGTCGCTGAAAATCGTACAAAAATTAAATTCTATTTATTTCCAGCTTAGTAAATATCGGCCTCGAAATGGAGGTAAATTTCTAATTGCCCTCTTTTGTTCAAAAATTCGCATCTTGTGAACTAAAGCAAATAGCATTTCAATTTTTTTCCAATCTTTAGACAATACTTGCCTAGAAATTTTCAGATAATGTGAAAAACATTGACCCAAACCCTGATTTTTGCCACCTTTGTTAAAATGGATCTCAAAATGAATATAAACATCCAACTGCGCATTTTCGTTTAAAAATTCGCATATTCCGAATTAAAGCAAGTAGCAATTGAAAATTTTTCTAGTCGTTAGAAGACACTTGATGGGAAATTTGTTGAAAAAGTGAAAAACATTGCCCTAAAGCCTGATTTTTGCCAGCTTCGTTAAAATGGATCTCTAAATGAATATTAACATCCAAGTGCGCATTTTTGTTTAAAAATTCGCATATTCCAAATTAAAGAAAGTAGAAATTGAAACTTTTTCCAGTCGATAG